CTAACCGTAACCTAACCGTAACCGTAACCTAACCGTAACCTAACCGTAACCTAACCTAACCTACCTAACCTACCTACCTACTACTACTAACTACTACTACTACTACTCTCTCTCTCTCTCTCTCTCTCTCTCTCTCTCTCTCTCTCTCTCTCTCTCTCTCTCTCTCTCTCTCTCTCTCTCTCTCTCTCTCTCTCTCTCCATCTTCAACCAGAGTGTCATAACTTCTTCAATTCCTTTGGCTACATAATCAAGCAGCTCATAATCTTTAATAGGGTAAGGTTATTGGTTCATTCTGTTGGATTTATGTAACCTTTAAATGCCTTATGAGTGTGTAATGAAAAATATTTATTATAGTAGAACATAAACTCAGTGAGAGTGTGGGACCATACTAAGCAAATGATGTTTGCTGATGCCAGACTGTACTTGACGATCTAGGCCAGTCGATTAGAAAACCCAAGGTACCTGGGCATAAAGAATAAACTGAAAAGGGTTCTAGGTTATCCCTTAATGAAGTCGGAGCTTATGCCTTGATGAGTGAGCCGATGGACCGGATGACCCTTGTGAGTGATGGTAGGCCTATAGAGACGAAGACCAAAACCTCATCCATGATCCATCACACGGCATGCATATCGATAGATCGTTCGAGAAAGCCAGATATCTAATTGTGGGTGCAGCGTATGCATGTGCGAGAGATACCCCTATGCACCATAGAGTTGTGGTCGCATCAGGTCGTAGTGACCTTGACTCGTCTCTAAGGGAGGACCTGTAATCCACAGACTGGGATTGTGACCCCTTGGCTCATCGGCCAGACTTTGATGACCCGCTAATAAACCCCTGCTTGAACGATGGGTCATGGGAAACACTGGGTCGGTTTGATAAAGCAAGTGTGGTCTATAGTCCACAGTTGAAGGTGGAGTGCCCCATGATCGCTGATGAAATTCTTGAACCATATGAATCCATTTCTCATCATATTAATTTAAATGTGTTCATTTTATTATAGAGATTATTTTAGATTATAATTTGAATTTTTATGAGTCTTTTAATATTTTATTTATAATTTTTTGGACTTATAAAAATGAAGGTATTCATTTTACAAAGTTATAAAAATTCAAATAAATTTTTAAAATTATTTCGTTAATTTTAAAATTTTTATAAAATCTCATGAGAGCCCATAGTGCACATGGGCCGGCCATGTGGCAAGAGGTGGGGCCTACACGTGCCACATATGGGTGGCACGTCCCACCCCCTTGGATCCCTTTTGGTTGTTTTGTGATAAGTTTTAAAAGTTTGGAAAGTGTATCTTATGACATGTGGTCAATTTGTAATATAGTAAATATTGGCCATATCTTATCTAAATGAGATAGCATATATTAACTTGATATTATTTGATATATTCTTATGGAATATATGACATGGATTATGCAATTTTATGGAATGCATGATATTTTAATCGATTTAATTTATTTAAATATATTGATGGGAAATGGTTTAAGGAAACGGGGATAATGGTCCATACACCTTCCATAATGCTGATAGCCCATCTATGGAATGGATGGCTCAGATCTCTCACCCCACAAGTCACCCGATCAACGGTCCATATTCAATCTCAAGAAAGAGGCAAACTATGAGAAACCCTAAGAAACCCTAAACCTAACTTTGCACTATAAATAGGGATGTACCCTCCTCTATTCTCTACACCTTCTCTATCCCACAACTCTCTCTCATCTCTCTCCTAGAGGGGCACGCCCCACTCTCTCTCCTCTAGGTTTCTCTCTCTAACCCTCTCTCTCTCTTAAGACCCATAGGAAGCACACCCCCAACCCTAAGCTTCCTACTCTCTCTCTCTCTTGACCTAAAGATACTAAGGGTTGAGAAATTAGGGTTAAACCTAAATTATTTTAGGGTTAGGGTTTAGTAGAGATTTAAGGGTGCTTACTCAGTTTGGCCGAAATTAGCTTTCCCGGTTCGAGATTGAAGCTAAACCACTGATCCCACGCCATCGGATGTTGGTGACTCGATGTGGGGTGTAATAAGCCCGATTGAGATAATCTCCGACATCTTCTTTTATTTCATGAAAATTTATCTATAATATTAAGTATAGTGCTTAGTTGTATAAATGACATCAAGTGGTAGAGTTTTATTTTATTGTTTAGTTGCCTTTATTTTGAAATATTTATTGATTGTAATAAGACCATCTGTAAGTGATCTTTTTGCCAAAGCAAAAGGGGCAATTATTAAAAAAATAAAATAAAAATTATATTCACCGGCAAAAGGTCACATAGGTCTTTCTTTCACATTCATCAATCAATTTATTATACTTATTTATTTGCTTTCCTCTGATTCTACAACTTCTACAACGCCCTAGTTCTTGTTTTGTTCTTTTTGCATTTTTATTATAGAAAAATGTTTTAAAACCATCTTATTTTGATTCCTTAATTTTCTTCCTTTTTACTGTGATTATAATTTTGATTTATTTTTATTTTTTTGGTTGGGGGACTGCGGTGCTTTTTCATATTTTCAGGCCTTAATTAGTTTGATTTTCTTACCCTTGTGAAATCATATTGCTGCTCGGGCCATTTTTCAATAGAAATAAGCAACTAAGCTTGTTTCTCTTAAAGCAGGTTGTGTACTAACTAAAATGGCATAGGCATAATAGTAGACAAAGGTTTAAAAGATAAAATAGTAGATGTTATGAGAGTAGGTGATAGGCTCCAATTAATATAATTCTGAGAGGACATGGATGCAAGTCCAAGGAATACCAAATGGTGAGAGAACATTTCTAAGAAGGGATTTAAATGGTCATGTAGGAAAGATAATAGAGAATATGAAAGGGTAAAGGGAGGATATAGATTTGAGGAAAAAAATGAGATGGGTGATGCTATCCTTGATTTTGCTATGGCATACAACCTAGCAACACACACCTACTTTAAAAAGCAAGATGAAACACATACTAACTTATAAAAGTGGATTATATCAAAGCCAAACAGATTTCTTCCTAGTTAAGAAGGTAAATCGACCATCATGTAAAGACTGTACGGCTATCCCAGAAGCGAAAAACGACCATGTTTTAAAACATGGCAATTGAATAGAAATGATCAAAACTTAGAAGAATACAAAAATAATACGGCTAAGCTTAAAGCAGATGATGATCTATACAACAATTGGGATATTTAACGTGAAAGAAGCTTTGAAAACGATGAAAAAATGAAGGATTTTAGGACCAAATGATATCTCAATAGAGGTGTGGAAATACATGGGAGAGATTGGCATATTCTGATTAACCAACTTGTTTATAAAGATGGTGAGAACAAAGAAAATATCAAATTAATGGAAGAAAAGTATTGTAGTACCTATATACAAGAAAAAAAGAAAATATAAAACATTGTACAAACCATCGATGGATCAAACTTATGAGCCACATTATGAAGTTGTGGCAGAGAGTGATTAAGCAACGATAAAGACATGAAACGAGAGTATTAAAAAATCAGTTTGGTTTTATGCAAAGGAGATAAATAACTGAGGTTATTTTCTTACTTAGACAATTGATTGAGAAGTTTAAGGATAAGAGAAAAGACTTCTAAATGGAATTTATTGATTTAGAGAAAGTATACAATAGGGTAGTTAGAGAATTAATTTGGTGGGTGTTGGAAAAAGAAAGGAATCTAGAAAATATATCAACATGGTGAGAGATATGTACGAGGGAGTGCTAACTAATATGACGACAACTAATAGGCCCATACCAAGGGTCAGCATTGAGCCCATATCTCTTTGTTTTAGTTATGGACAAGTTAACTAGACATCTACAGGATGCGGTACCATAGTATATGTTGTTCCCGGATGACATAGTTTTGATTGATGAGACTAGAGATAACATTAACGCATAGTTAGAACTTTGGAGGGATACTCGCATATCTAAAGGTTTTAAAATTAGTGAAACTAAAACATAATATATGGAACATAAGTTTAGTAATAACAAGAATAGAAATGAGACACTAGTTAAAGATTGATGGCCAAGAAGTTCCTAAAAGAGATTATTTTTAATATTTGATATCCATAACCTATGAGAATGAAGAGATTGAGGAAGGCGTCGCATATAGAATTAAAGTTAGATGGCCAAAGTGGAGATGTGTTTCAAGAGTTTTATGTGTCCACCACATACCAATGAAACTAAACGAGAAGTTTAATAGAACGCCGATAAGACTAGCATAAGGATGCCAATAAGACTAGCTATGCTTTATAAGACAGAATGTTGGTCGATCAAGAAACAACATATCCATAAAAATGAGTATAGTGAAGATGATGATGGTCAAATAGATGACTGGCAAGATAAGAGAATAGAATTTGGAATAATTACATTAGAGATAATTTACGGCTGATTCCAAAGGGCAATGAAGGGAAG